GCAGGATGTGAGTCGCATTCATGCGCCACATCCACAAAACTCCTTAGAGGTTGAAAAATTCCTTGCCAGTTGCCACGCCGCACCAGGGGAGCAAGACCATGGGAGAAGCTCAGATGATAGGAATCCAGGGGATTTTTGGGAATATGACGATCTTAAGTCTGCATGGAAAATGAATCATGTTAGACCCCGAGAAAGACTCTATGCTCCTGTTGGTAAGGACTGTCCTTTCAGTGCTGATGAAATCGGTCCACAACGCGTCGCAGAATGGAAATGCAAAGGTGTTGTTTCGGTTTAGAAAGATCATTGGCAAGTACATCCTCGCCAAGGGATTTCTTCTAAAAGATGGATTGGGGCAACATGGTTTTTTACCAAACAAAAAATAGACTATGATCATGCACAAGTACAAGCATGCCAAGCCAACATTGCCAGATCCGATGGAACCTCCAAAAGGTTCGCCAAAAAGAGTGATCATTTCTTAGCTAGTGCAAGCTTGGATCATCCGAACCTCGCTGCAGAAATCCAGCGGGCAGCCAAAGGCGTGGATCAAGTTAAGCCGTCTAAAGCTAGGAAAGCCAGAGGGTCGAATTCCAAAATCATGTTTGAATTTTGTTGTTCTGAAGACTCCGCACTCGGCAAAGCCAACAAGGAAAGAAACATCGATCACATCCGGTTGACTGAAAAGTCTTCGGACATGGCCAATGATGCAGAAGTACGAGACTTGCTGAAAGTCATGAAATTGTTCCCAGGAGCAGACCTTTGGGGTTCAATTCCTTGCGGCCCATGGTCCCGTTGGCAGGACGTTAATCTTGCTAAAGGTGGTCAGGGGTACGCAAAAAGGCCCAAAGCTGCACGTAAAAAGTCGATAAAAATCCTGAAAAACTACATACGCTGCGCAGAGCAGGACATGTGTGCTTTGAGTGGCCCAGAGGATGCTCTGGCTGGTCAAATTCCAGAGCTTGTGAAGTTCATCAAAAAGCATGATTTGTAGCCGAGCCAGATGGGTGTGCATTCGGTTTAAAGGATGATGAGGGAGACCCCCATTATAAACCTTGGGGGATTGTAACAAGTTCGTATCAAGTGGCTAGAAACCTTGATGCGTACAAATGCAGCCATCCACCGGATTTCAAACAGTCGCACCTGGCAGGTTCCAAAACGCCTAAGTCTGCATTTTATACTGATGAAATGGCACAATGCATTAGTCATTCCTTGTACCCCGAGGTTGTACCTTCAATGCCTGTTAAACCCATGCAGCCAGAACCACATCACCAACCAACAGCCGTTGAAGTTGATGCAGGTGTCCACCACCTGATCGACAGGAAGGACTGGCATAAGCATGAAGGTTATCTTGATGCAATCAAGAAAGAACGGGATGGTGTCTTGGAAAATGGTACTTGGAACTATGATGAAGTAGTACCTAGAGACTAGCTCATGAAACGCAAAGAGCACATCAATATAGGTAGAATCATGACAATTCTGTCTGTTAAACATTGGGAAACACCAGCTCTTAGGAAGCTTAAAGCCCGAATAGTGTTTAGAGGGGATGACTTAAGGGACAATGAAGGGAATCTTGCGGTCTTGTTGGAGTCAAAGGTGAACCCAACGGGAATGGCTGGCATCAACGCCAACATTGCTTACGGAAGTTTGCCAGTCAGATGTTGTCCGTGCTTACCTTCAGTCACGGTTGGGGAGAAAAGTACCAACTTGGGATGAGCTGAGTCCTGAACTGGTTCCTGATGAGTTCAAACATATCAAGCGACCATGTGTCCGACTATGGCGGTCTTTGTATGGCCACCCAGAGGCAGGGTATCATTGGGATATGAATAAGCCTTTTTGGGATGAGATGCCACGCCACTTGGAAGTTGGATGAGCCAGCTGAAGTCAGCCGAATTCTCGGCCGAGAGCACAGCATCTCAAGAAGCAAGGAGGGAACAACTTGCGCCTTCGAAATGACCGAATTCATTGGTAACTGTTGCGAACTGTTTGAGACGCTAGCAGCCGAAAGCTAAAAGCCTGCAGCATCACCTTACGTCAATGATGAGAGTTTAACTGATTCCGATTGGGATGTAAAGGTTTCAATTGTCAGCAGAAGCATCTCGCGTACTTATGAAAGTATTGTGGTGTGCTAGACTGGCAAGACCTGATCTCAACAAAGCTATCTCAGATCTTACACGTAGACTAACGTTCTGGAGTGTCGCAGATGATAATCGCCTCCATAGATTAATGAGTTACCTTTTTGGGTCAAGAAAGGTCACTCTTAAAGGTTACATAGGGGGCCCACCAGAGTTGTTGCGTTTGTGCTGTTACACAGATGCCGATCACGGTTCTGCACAGGATGATACCAAATCCACAAGCGGCATGATCATGACGCTCGAAGGTCCACACTCGTGGTGGCCACTCTCATGGGCAAGCCGCCAGCAGACGTCAACTGCACGCAGCACGACAGAAGCCGAAATGGTGTCGTTAGGTGCAGGTCTATCTCTTGAAGCACTGCCAATGCAAGAGCTCTTAGAGACAGTTTTTGGAAGGCAGGTTGAACTTGTGTGTTACCAAGATAACTCCGCAGTTATCCAAATTGTTGCTGCCGGGTATAGTCCCAAACTCCGACACCTCAATAAAACTTTCCGCATAAATATAGGTTCAATCCATCAAGTCTTTAAGGAGAATGACGATTGCCAGTTGCTCTACATCAAAACTGCAATGCAGAGAGCTGATCCGTTCACCAAGCCACTCCCTGTGGCAAAATGGCCGGAAGCTTTGCAACAACTAAATGTTCAGGTATCAGCGTAGTCCATAATCTTCTTATAGGTTGCTTTATGTACAGCCAGTCGGTCTTGTCTGTCTGGATGCAAGGATGAGATGTTTTGATCTGCCATCTACAGGACCATTGGAAGCGAGATGCACTTGTGCACCGCAACCGTTGGTATCTGTGGCAGCCAGGTCATCACATCATCCAAGTCTGTACAGGTGTCCAACGCCAAAAGGGGGAGAAGAAAGATTACGAGTAATATGCCTCCTCACGTAGTGCAGTGTAGTGCAATGTAGTGTCACCAACAAGCGCTTCCATAGCATTCGATGTAGACTGGAATTCATAACCAATGCATGAGGTCATGTTAATAGACATCGACCCTGGAATCCAGTTTGCCCGTACTGACATAGTAATGTGTCTACTTGTTTTAACTAATTAGTCCATTCGCCAAAAATCCAGCGGGGTAACAAAACTGTTTCCTTGACCAATTGTTTGGCTCAAGACGTTTTTTATCGCCCCGTGGAAAAGGGAACGTGGTTGAGACATCAGATTCTTCAGAATCTTTTCTATATCATGATAATATGTGTACGTTACAATCTACACATTATATGCAAGTATGTATGTATGTATGTATGTGTGTGTGTATGTGTGTATGTGTGTATGGTATGTATGGTATGTATGGTATGTATGGTATGTATGGTATGTATGGTATGTATGTAATGTATGTAATGTATGTAATGTATGTAATGTATGTAATGTATGTAATGTATGTAATGTATGTAATGTATGTAATGTATGTAATGTATGTAATGTATGTAATGTATGTAATGTATGTAATGTATGTAAAGTATGTAATGTATGTAATGTATGTAATGTATGTAATGTATGTAATGTATGTAATGTATGTAATGTATGTAATGTATGTAATGTATGTATGTATGTATGTGTATGTAATGTATGTAATGTATGTAATGTATGTAATGTATGTAATGTATGTAATGTATGTAATGCATGTAATGCATGTAATGCATGTAATGCATGTAATGCATGTAATGTATGTTATGTATGTGATGTATGCGATGTATGTATGTATGTATGAATGTATGTATGTATGTATGTATGGTAATGTAATGTAATGTAATGTTATGTATGTATGTATGTATGTACCAGTATGTATGTATGAGTATGTATGTATGAGTATGTATGTATGAATGTATGTATGAGTATGTATGTATGTATGTATGCATGTATGTATGTATGAATGTATGTATGAGTATGTATGTATGTATGCATGTATGTATGTATGAATGTATGTATGAGTATGTATGTATGTATGTATGTATGTAATGTATGTATGTATGTATGTATGTATGTATGTATGTATGTATGTATGTATGTATGTATGTATGTATGTATGTATGAGTATGTATGAATATGTATTTGTATGTATGTATGTATGTATGAGTATGTATGAGTATGTATGAATATGTATGAATATGTATTTGTATGTATGAGTATGTATGAGTATGTATGAGTATGTATGAGTATGTATGAGTATGCATGAGTATGTATGAGTATGTATGAGTATGTATGAGTATGTTTGAGTATGTATGAGTATGTATGAGTATGTATGAGTATGCATGAGTATGTTTGAGTTTGTATGAGTATGTTTGAGTATGTATGAGTATGTATGAGTATGTATGAGTATGCATGAGTATGTTTGAGTTTGTATGAGTATGTATGAGTATGTATGAGTATGCATGAGTATGTTTGAGTTTGTATGAGTATGTAAGAGTATGTACGAGTATGTATGAGTATGTATGAGTTTGTATGAGTATGTATGAGTATGTTTGAGTATGTATGAGTATGCATGCATGCATGCATGCATGTATGTAATGTATGTATATATGTATGTATGTATGTATGTATGTATGCATACTGCTTGCTCGCTTGCCAGCTTGCTTGATTGATTGGCTGACTGGCTGATTGATTGATTGATTGATTTGGTTGATTGATTGATTGGTTGATTGCTTGGTTGATTGATTGAGTGATTGGTTGATCGATTTGGTTGATTGATTGATTGGTTGGTTGGTTGGTTGATTGGTTTTGATTTGATTGATTGATTGATTGATTGGTTGGTTGGTTGGTTGGTTGGTTGATTGATTGATATATGCACGACAGTGTCATCAAGCAGCAAGTACTGCAACTGGCGTGCAATTCTTCAATCTGAATGTCGTGCGTGCCTTCTCGCTAGGAGCTTCACTTGGCATTTGTCTCTTCCCTCATGGCGTTGCTGGGCTTCAACTCAGGTGTTGCTGGTGCAGTGCTGTTCAACATGCTCTCGATCATGTTTTGTTTTATTCATGTTTTTTTAACAAGGCAAAGAAACAATAGGTATGATCGAAGGAAGTTTAGAAGTCAAACTTCCGACAATATGGACAGATGGAAAAGCAGAGGTGGTAAGAGCCAAAGAAGAGAAGAGAAGAGAAGAGAAGAGAAGAAGAAAGACTATCAAAAAGAGAAAGTCTCAGAAGAAAGAAGTTCCAGGTGCCCGAAAAGGTAGGAAAGTCGTGAAACACTGTGTTTTTCCAATGATTTGAGGCTCCGGAGTGTCGAAAAGTAGGCTCGCTAAAGCGGCAGGTGCGGAGCCAGCTGGCCAAATGAGAGATGAAAAAGAGTACGCCGTTGTGGCGCAAAGCACATGTCCAAGTCAAAAGTGTAAAAAACTGACGGGTTCGGAGCACTTTTGGAAGTTGAGATGTCGAAAAAGTGCACACCGTTGAGGCGCGAAGCACATTTCGAAGTCAAAATGCACAAAACACACCAACGTCGGAGCACTTTTTGAAGTTGAGATGTCGAAAAAGTGCACGCCGTTGTGGCGCGAAGCACATTTCGAAGTAAACATGTTAAAAACACAACATTCTCGGACCACTTTTTGACGTTCCGATGGCGTTTCGCGTGGCAGGCGCAAGGGATTGTGCACCGTGTCAAAAGTAAGCAAAATGTGACATTAATTAAACTACAACTACTACTTCTGCTTCTTCTACTACTACTACTACTACTAACTACTAACTACTAACTACTAACTACTTACTACTAACTACTAACTACTAACTACTAACTACTAACTACTAACTACTAACTACTAACTACTAACTACTAACTACTAACTACTAACTACTACCTACTAACTACTAACTACTACCTACTACCTACTACCTACTACCTACTAACTACTACCTACTACTACTAACTACTACCTACTACCTACTAACTACTAACTACTACTACTACCTACTAACTACTAACTACTACTACTACTACTACTACTACTACTACTACTACTACTACTACTACTACTACTACTACTACCTACTACCTACTAACTACTACTACTACTACTACTACTACTACTACTACTACTACTACTACTACTACTACTAGCTAATGGTCCCCCGTAATGATAGTGTGAATGGCATGTTCGCCCTATCCGCAGCATTTCCTCAGCTTCAATTAGGAAGACGTGCCAGGTGTGGAGGTAAGGTCACCTGGCATCTGGAACCTGGACCCCGGTCCGTACCGGGTGAAAGGGCCCAGGTGTCGGGATGGCTGAACCCGAGCCCTGGCGGAAGACAGGACGAAAAGCTGGTGAGGAACACTGGCTTGGGTTGACACCCAGCGCTGTTGTAGAGGTGAGCCTCTATGACGATGCGGGGCGACAGCAGGGCCGAGGTGTTGTGAAATTGCAGCACCGCGCCATAGAGGATGAGGCTGGCAAAGGTCAAACCTGGCGAGGATTCTTTCTGGCCATTGAAGACGGATATTACGAGTGGTGGGTACAAAATCATTACCCCACGAAGGTGCTGCCATTCCACTTCTGTCAGGTGGCGGCCCATCGGTGTGGGGAGCAAACGCTGTACCGGGACCCCATCCACGTTGACGTCTTCAGAGTCTTGCCGGATGATACATACGTGAGGCTGCCGTGGATGACCGATGAAAAGAATGAGAAGGCCAAAAGCTTGTTGGCACTCCACGCCACGCAGGCGCCTGCGGTCCCAGCCCTCGCCTCTCCAGCTGTGGGGGGTGGGGATGGTGGCCGTGGGAGCCGAGCTGATGGTGAAGTGGAGGTGGGTGAAGCTGGCATTGCAGGGCTGGCTCGAGCACTTGGAACTGCAGGAGATCGTGGCGACAAGAGAGAGAGGCAGATCGACGATGATAAGGAGGAAAAGAAGAAAAGGAAGGAGAAGAAGGCACCAGTGGATGCCCGAGAGGAAGGCCTTCGAGCCGTTCTGAATAAGCGGAAGGCACCGCTACCTACCGGGGGTGCGCTCAAGCTGAAAGGAGACGACCTGAAGAAGAAGAAGAAAAAGAAGCGGAAAAGAGATTCAGAGAAAAAGCGGAAGTCCAAAAAGGAGGAAGCTAGCAAGGGGTCCTCCGAGGAAAGTGACTCAGGGGACGACGAGACCTCCTCATCGAGTTCAGGGTCGCTTTTTCAGTTGGCCGCCCTGCCACAGGGAGTAGACCGATTGCACCGGTTGCATCAGGAGAAGCCAGGGGCTCTGGCGGACCTAACGCTCCGGCGCTTTCAGGAGCTCCTGAACCGCTCAATAGGCGGGGGAACGGCCGAGACAGAGCAGGAGATGCCGCCGGTAGCGCGCGCATACCTCAGCCAGATCTACATGGTGCGCCATCCAGAAGCAGCGATTGGCCTGCGGAATCTGAGAGAGCTGCGTACGTTGGCGACGCTGGTGGATCTCATGGCCATGAACGACTCTCTCCGTGCACTCGACGTGGCCGTACAGAGAATGAAGAGCATCGAGCTGTTCATAGCTTAGGGCCAATGGAGTCAAGCAAACTTGCTGGAGCTCATTGTGCCGGAGGAGGAGCAACGAGCCTGGTTCCGACAGGAGTTGAAGGCAGCCCAGCAAGAGCACAAGAGCGACCTGAGGCTGCAGAGGGACCAATGGCCGAAAAGGAGGGCCGCCTGGTATCCCTCCCCCGGAGGGGGGGGGAACATGGACAAGAAGGAAGCGGAAGGAAAAGACGGAGGACCACCCGAAAACGGAGGAGGTCAGAGCCAAGGGAAAGGAAAGAAAGGAAGAGGAAAAGGGAAGAAGGGCAAGCGGTGGTGAGCCCACCCGCGGCCCGGCGGGGGTTAGAATACCCAGCGATGGAAAGGGCCCTAAATGAATGTGAAGTGTCTGAAGAAACACGAGAGAAGGTCAGAAGCCTCATGCAGGATCCGGAGGTGGTGGCGCTCTATCGACTCAGGAGGTTTGCGTTGGGCAAGAGCCCAAACTGGAAGATGATAGAGCAGGATTTCTTTGAGATGATTGCCAATGTCGCTGGAGACCCACCTGCACTGGTAAAGAAGCAGTTGCGGCTCAGCTGTCAATTCCTAGGAGAGGAATTGATACCATCCGCATCGGAAGTGGCCTGCCGGCTCTTGGGGGTCGACCAATCTCAGGCCGGGGTTGATCCTCGGTCTGGGGAAGGTCGGCTCCTAAAGTTGGTGAATGGCATTGAAGTGCGAGCTGCTGACATTGAGTGGAAGAGAGAGGACGGGGTTTATGTTGGCACCCCTCACAAAGAGTTTGGTGCCTCAATCTACCACCAGGAGTTTGTCAGTCAGTTGGATAAGGAAAAAGTGAGGATATCTTTGGTGGGTCAACACTTATATGTTGGCTCAAAGGACCTGAGAGCTGCCGACTGGTTGATTCAGGAATTTGGGCTGATTCCAAAAGAGCACGTGACGCCGGTCTCATGGAGGCAGATGATGCGGCGAGGGCTGGGGCTCAGCTTGTCGGTGAGTCTTGTGGGGGTGGTCTTAAAAGTCGGCATTCAAGACCGCCCTGGAGAGTTGGGCAACTTAGCGCGTGCCCTTCCTTGCTGCGCTCTGGAGAACTTTCACCGACTGGCAAAGGAGCTACTCCCATTGCCAATGCCCATCATGACCGACGAAGAACTGGCTTTTGAGGCAGCGGTGAATGAGGCAGCGGTGAAGGAGGTCCTCTGTGGCCGCTTGGATGTGACCAGTGAGAGTTGGAGGAAGCTGAACAGTGAGGCAAAGGAAATCGGTGTGAAGGCATGGACCTGGCTGCAGTGCTTCGTGATCAACCACCTATACTGCCACGGAGCAGGTGGTCGCATGCTGTCTGAGTGCATGCTTCACGCGAAGGAACCTACTGCGAGCCAGGAAAGATCCATCAAGCGACTTGACAGCTTAAGCAAGAAATGGATTGAAGAAGATAAGGAGGATGCGATCAGGGCAGACACCTGGGAGAAGTCGTCTGAGACATTGGGGGACATGTACACAGGACCCAACGTAGGGAAATCCTATCCTCTGACATTGGAGGCAATACTCCCCACAACACCAGGTGCGAGTGAAGCGGCGAGGATCCCATTGTCAGAAGTGGTGAGCGACTCGGTCAAGGAATATGTGGATGACCCTTCGCTGCTGCGTATCCCGGACGAGGAGCTCATTGTGCCACGCACCTCAGCGTTGGTGCAAGTCACCAGCCAGGAGGAGTGGGACAAGATCGTGAGCCACCTGGTAGATGCAGGCATGCTTGAGAGGGAAGTTGAGGCAGAGACCTTCAAGTATCGAGGGGAGCCAGTTCGTAATGGGGCGTTTGGCGTCCACAAGAGTTGGGTGCTGAAGGAGGATGGAGAATGGCTCCGCACGTTGAGATTGATCATCAACATGATCCCCGGCAACTCGTTCCAGAGACGCATGCCAGTGAGAGCTCCGGAGAAGATGGGTTATGCCCCGCTGTGGGGGAACCTCTACTTGCATGAGGACGAAATCATCATATGTGCCGCTGAGGACCAGAAACACTGCTTTCATATCTACCGGCCAGGATATGCATGGCGAGCCTTCTTCAGTTTGAGTAGGATGGCTTCAGGACAGGCCTTCAAAGATGGAAAGGTGGAGAAAGGTTACCCTCGAGTGAAGAGTGCACCCATGGGGTGGAACAATGTGGTGGACTTTATCCAGGACGGCTTTGAGAACATGGCCAAGATGGCAGGTTTGGCGCCTAATCAAGTTATTCGAATGGGCGAGCCGAGCCCGTTGGAACCTTTGGCAACTCCCAGATCATTCTTTTCGTTCTATGTGGACAACTTTGACCAGCTGAAGATCATCTGGAGGACCGACCGGGGGCTGTACGAAGGCCAGCCGACCGATGAACAACTCCAATTGCGAGAGACCATGGAGGAATTGACTGTAGGGAGAGACCCCAAGAAAGCAGCTGAGGGATCAATCAGCTGGACCAGTTTGGGAGCCGAAGTGGCTGGAGAGGAAGGATGGATTGGCAGCTCGCGGAGCTTCCGCCGGGCACTTCTGAGTGCTAACCTTGGGCTGTTGGTGGGGGATGAGGTCCGTACTGATTCCCCCAATCTGCAGTCTGTGGTTTCAAAGAACATGCACTCGGTGCAATACAACCGGCAGCTGGCAGTGTTGTTTGACAGGCTGTACGTGGAAATGAATGCCAGCAGGCCACGACTCTTGAGTGAGAAAGGTCGCGACGAGCTCTTGCTGCTATGCTGCTCACTGCCCATGCACTGGCTTGACGTCAAGATGAAAGTGTCAGGCCAAGTGTATGCGACAGACGCGAGTCCAGAAGGCGGAGGAGCCTGCTGCACTACTGGCCTGAGCCCCTGGGGAAGTGCAAGACTTCACAGCCTCAGTCATGAGCGTGATGGACTGGAGGGAGCCGCTACTGAGAATGCCCTAGTGATCGAATGCTTTGCGGGCATGGGAGGCCTGAAGCAAGCACTGGATTTGATTGGGTTTGAGCCCGCTGGGGTGGTGGCAATTGATACCTCGGCTGAGTGCTGTAAGGTATACAAGCAGCACTGCCGCCACGTCATCTGGGTTCAGAAGATTGAGTCCGTGACGGAGGAGCAGGTCTTGGAATGGAGAAGGCGATTTCCGCGCGCCACAAAGGTGGTCATTGGAGGAGGATGGCCATGCATCAACCACTCGGTGCTGAACCCTAGACGACAGGGAGCAGAAGGAGCTTCGAGCAAGCTGCTGGACGACATGTTGGCAATCAGAGGATGGTTGGGATCGTGCTCAGAGAAGTTGCACCTTCCCCCATGGAAAGTAGTGGAGATTTTCGAAAATGTGGTCATGGATGATGCAGATTACGAAGCCCAAAGCAAGAAGATTGGGTACACGCCCTACTTTGTTGAGGCTGCTGAGATTGGGCGTTGCCGAAGACCCAGGCTCTACTGGATTTCAGGGGTGGACCTTGTGGCTGGAGATGATCTGTCTGTCGCCGCGCGGCGAACTCTGAGAGGTCACAGCTACCAGGTGAAGCAAATCAAGGTGGACACGGAACGTCCCCCGCTCACATGGTTCCTGAATGAAGGGACCACCAAGATGGCCGAACCTGAAGAGCCGTTTGCAACGTTCACCCGGCCAATCGCTCGACAGAGCCCTCCAGAAGATCCTGCCGGGTTTGACCAGGCCACAGAGAAGGCCTTGAAGCGGTGGCGCGGAGACAGTTACAGGCTCCAGCCCTACCAATATGAGCCTCGTAACCTGGTAACCGACAAGAATGGGCCCAGAAGGCCTGCAGTCGAAGAGCAGGTCCGGATGATGGGTTTCCAATCCACACACCTCAATACCAAAACCAAGCTCAGTGCAGACCTGAGAGGTCAAATGGTTGGGAATTCCTTTTCAGCGATGGTGGTGGCTCGGCTCTTGGTGGGCCTGGTGTTGAAGCCGGAGCAATGTGTTGGAAAGGATGTCAGCCTGATGCTCTGGGAAGTCTGGAAAGCCAAGGAAGACAAAGCTGGTCAAGAAGGAAAACCTTGGAAAGTGAGGTTTGCAAGTGTGGCTGCGGGGGTTCCTGGGGTGGTGAGCCTGCTCGAGCGGGTCTTGCCATCACCAGTCGCGCCCCTGCGGTCATTCATTGACCCTCAACAGTGGCTGACAGACGAAGAGATGCTGAGCTACTTGTTAGCTCGCAATGGGACACACCGTGGTGCTGAGATCCGGATTGACTTGGGGATGCCTTACTCCGTTGGTGAACTGTGCCGGCAGAGCATTGATCCCAGTCACTGGATTTGGAAAGTCTTGATGTCCTACTCATGGAGAGAGCCAGGACAACACATCAACATCTTGGAGTTGGTGGCGGTCCTTGATCTTCTCCGCCGGCAAGGACGCGATCCAAAGCATCATGACCAACGCTTGATCACACTTGTGGACAACCAAGTTGCAATGAGCTGCCTCTCGAAGGGACGCAGCTCCGCTCGAGCCCTCCAAGGTCCCCTACGCCGCATCAGTGCCGTATGCCTAGCCGCACACTTTCGACTCTGCCTCGGATGGATCAAGAGCAAGTGGAACCCAGCTGATGGGCCCAGTAGATGGGCCAAGCGTCGTCGCAATGCCTAGACAACAGGTCTTAGGCCGACGGGGCCGAGTCGAAAGAAAAAAGGACAGGCAGGCACTGGGGAGTCTAAAAGACTTGGTTGTGGCTAAAAACACTCGGGATCGATATTTGGAGGCTGTTTCACGTTTCTTGCTGTTCTTGCGAAGTCATGGTTTCACTTATCCTTCTTCCTTTTCAAGTCTAGATGCAAAAGTTTGTGAATTCATTGAAGCTTTGTGGCATAATGGGGACCCTAAGTCGTATGCTAGCGATTGTTTGTCTGGCCTGGGGCATTTTGTTCCGCAATGCAAGCGAAGTTTGGTGGGGGCCTGGCGACTGCATGGGAGTTGGACTAGGGCGGAGTTGCCTGCTCGTGCTCTACCGTTTCTGCCTGTGATGGTTTATGCCCTTGCTCAAGCTGCATTTGACAAAGGCTGGTCTGATCTTGCTGTCCTCGTCCTTTTGGGTTTTGACAGATTTGCGCGGTCTGGGGAGCTCTTTATGGCTAAGAGAGGAGACTTTACTTGGAATACCACCAAGACCAAGGCCATTTGGTCCCTTCCTTTGACCAAAAGCGGACAAAGAGTCGGAGCTCAGGAATCTTTAGTCATTGACGATAGCTGGCTGGTGGTGGCACTGGCTAACTACATGTCAGCCCTCTCTCCAGGGGATTATTTGCGGAGTGTTTCCCCCGGAATTATGCGCTCCCGTCTTAAAAGTCTTCTGAGTGACTTGAAGTTTCCTGAGGGGTACCAATGGTACTCGCTCCGTCGAGGCGGTGCGACCCATTTCTTTCGGGCCACCAATGACCTCTCACGAGTTTGCTTTGTGGGCAGATGGAACAGCATTAAAACTGCCAGAATATATCTCACAGATGCACTTGCGCAGTTAACTGAGATTCAACTGGAGCCAGTAGTTCAACGTAATCTTTTGCGTCTTGCCAAGCGAGCACGCCCTGGTTTCCAGTTTGACTCATAAGTCTTTTGTTCCCCCCCTGTTTCCCCCCGCTGTGACTCGTAAACTTTCTTCTTTCAGGTCCTCTCATCTCTCCTTCGAGTCAATGCTTGAGTATGCTACCTTTACAGCAGCAGTGTCCTGCTAGTTTGGGGAGAGGTGGACACCGGTGTCTGGGTGCTTGTTGCTTGGTGGGCTTGGGCCTAGGGGGTTGCACCCAAGAGGACTTGCTGCTTTGCTAGGTTTCACTGGGTCTCTAGTGTGCATCTTGCCCCTTGCAGCAAAGCGGTGGTTCTTAGATGTTGGGGCTTTGCCTGTGGGGTGCAGCTGTCCACTGGAACCCTTCCGTTGCTTTGACATCCATAGATGTCATCGCTTTGAACAAACTGCCTTCAGAGCGCAGCGTTGAAAATTAGGATGGGGCTTTGCCTTGAACACTAGCTAATGGTCCCCCGTAATGATAGTGTGAATGGCATGTTCGCCCTATCCGCAGCATTTCCTCAGCTTCAACCTCCTCTTTCCCCACCTCCACCCTGGGGAGGGACACCGGTGTCTGGGTGCTTGTTGCTTGGTGGGCTTGGGCCTGGGGGGTTGCACCCAAGAGGACTTGCTGCTTTGCTAGGTTTCACTGGGTCTCTAGTGTGCATCTTGCCCCTTGCAGCAAAGCGGTGGTTCTTAGATGTTGGGGCTTTGCCTGTGGGGTGCAGCTGTCCACTGGAACCCTTCCGTTGCTTTGACATCCATAGATGTCATCGCTTTGAACAAACTGCCTTCAGAGCGCAGCGTTGAAAATTAGGATGGGGCTTTGCCTTGAACACTACTACTACTACTACTACTACTACTACTACTACTACTACTACTACTACTACTACTACTACTACTACTACTAGTACTACTCCTACTCCTACTACTACTACTACTACTACTACTTCTACTACTTCTACTACTACCACCACCACCACAGCTACAACTACAACTACAATAACAGCTACACTACATTACACTACAATACACTAATTAAACTGCAGCACATTACAGCTACAAATGCAAATACATTACATTACACCACGCTACACTACACTAATTACATTGCATTACGCTACAATTGCAACTTCCACTACATTGCACTACACGACACTACACTACAACTACAGCTACACTACTTTACACTACAATACACTACAATACACTACACTACACTTCACCACGCTACAGTACACAACACTTCAGTACACTACACTGCATTAAATACACCACACCACAAGTACAACTGCAACTGCAACTACACTAATTACACTACATTACAGCTACAACTTAGAACTACAACTACACTACACTACAACTACACCTACAACTACAACTACAACTACAACTGCACTGCACCACACTACATCCAGCGGTTGTGGTGAGGTGACCACTGCAACCATTGCAGCCACTCCAGAAAACACAACTCCAACCACCTTTCGGTCCATCAGTGGATTCGCTCTGCCATCCGTGAGTCACAACAACCAACCCTTCCTATAGGTTTCCTATTTTTGAAACTTCCGCCACCGCCTTGTGCGCTACTACCGGTAGGTACCGGTCATGCTCATGTCACCAGCATTTCAGCAGAACGATGTCACTCTGTTTGTACCTGCTTGTTCCTTACTTCTAAAGCTCTTGGATCAATATAGTCGAAGGAAGTTTAGAAGTCAAACTTCCGACAATATGGATAGGTGGAAAAGCAGAGGTGGTAAGAGCCAAAGAAGAGAAGAGAAGAGAAGAGAAGAAGAAAGACTATCAAAAAGAGAAAGTCTCAGAAGAAAGAAGTTCCAGGTGCCCGAAAAGGTAGGAAAGTCGTGAAACACTGTGTTTTTCCAATGATTTGTGGCTCCGGAGGGTCAAAAAGCAGGCTCGCCAAAGCGGCGGGTGCGGAGCCATCTGGCCAAATGAGAGATGAAAATTGCACGCCGTTGTGGCGCCAAGAACTTTTCGAAGTCAAAATGTGCAAAACACACCAACGTCGGACCGCTTTTGGAAGTTGAGATGTCGAAAAAGTGCACGCCATTGTCGCGTGTAGCACATTTCCAAGTCAAAATGCACAAAACACATCAAAACACGACATTCTCAGACCATGTTTTGGGAGTTTGAAAAAGTGCACGCCGTTGTGGCGCGAAGCACATTTCCAAGTCAAAATGTACAAAACACACCAACGTCGGACCGCTTTTGGAAGTTGAGATGTTCAAAAAGTGTACGCACTTGTGGCGCGAAGCACATTTCCAAGTCAAAAGTGCAAAACACCGACGGGTACGAAGCACTTTTGGACGTTAAGATGTTGTTTTGCGTGGCAGGCGCAAGGGATTCTGTACCTTGCCGAAAGTGAATAAAACGTGAGGTTTTTTGTCGCATTTCCCAAAACGATGGCAGGCGTGGGACATTTGAAGAGGATCTGGACAGATGCATTTTCCGTGGCAGGCGCAGTACAGGAGACATGTTCATCAGAGATGTTAGGAGGTCAGGGCGCTGATTTCCGGAGAGGGGTTGCATTTTGGAGCATCAGATCGTCAGGTTTGCGAAGATGATTTTGCGTGACAGGTGCAGCACTTTGTATGACTTGGCAGCAATTTTCTTGGCAGGCGCAATACTTCAGAGACATGGACTCGAAAAATCGCAAAACGCATTGGCACGAGGCCGTCAGCTCTGCACTCAACTTTCCATTATCGAAGGAAGTCTCGCAGAATTGCTTCGTTTTTGATGTTGCCAACTTCGAAAATTGCGGAAGTCTCGCAGGATTGCTTCCTTTTCAAACTTGCAGAAAGACAGATAAATAGATAGATAACTACAACTACGATTGCAACTCCAACTACCACTACAATACGCTACGCTACACTACACTACTGCAACTACAACTAACACTACAAATACATATACAGATACATTATGCTACAGTACACTACACTAATTACACTACAGCCACAACTACTACTACAACTACAGCTACAGCTACACTACACTACACTAAGTATATTGCACGGCGCTACACTACACAGCAACTACAACATAACTACAACTACATTATATACACAACACTAGACTGCACTAATTACAGTACACTGCAACTACAACTACAACTACACTACACTAATTACACTACACTACAACTCCAACCCCGACTACGCTACACTACAACTACAACTGCGCTACACCCCACTGCATCCAGCAGTTGTGGGTGAGGTGACCGCTGCGGCCATTGCAATCGCTCCAAAAAACACAACTCCACCCACCTTTCGGTCCATCAGTGGATTCGCTCACAAGGCGGTGGCGGAAGTTTCAAAATTAGGAGACATATAGGAAAAGTTGGTTGTTGTGCATCATGAATGGCAGATCGACTCCACTGATGGACCGAAGGAGGTTACTTTTTTTGGAGTGGTTGCCGTGGTCACCTCACCCACAACTGCAGGATTGTGGGGTAGCGAAGTGTAGTGTAATTGTACTTGTAGCTGTTGTACTTGCAGTGTAGTTGTAGTTGCAGTGTAGTTGATGCTGTTGAAGTTGTAATGTGGTAGTTGTAGTTGCAGCTGTGGTTGTAGTAGTAGTCGTAGTGTAGTTGAAGTGTAGTTGGAAATGCAGTTGTAGTAGCTGTCGGAGTTGTAGCTGTAGCTGTAGGTAACTGTAGTGTAGTTGTAGCTGTAGGAGTTGTAGCTGTAGCTGTAAGTAGCTGTAGTGTAGCTGTAGTTGTAGTTGTAGTGTAGCTGTAGTTGCTGTAGTTGTAGTGCAGTGTAGTGGTAGTTGCTGTTGTAGTGTAGCTGAAGTTGTAGTTGTAAATTAGTGTAGTTTACTAGTAGTGGTAGTTGTAGTTGTAGTTTAGTGGTAGTTGTAGCTGTAGCCGTGGTTGTGCTGTAGTTTACTGGTAGTGGCAATTGTAGTTGTAGCCTAGTGTGGTGTAGCGCAGTGGTAGCTGGAGTTGCAGTGTAGTTGTAGTTGTAGTTGCAGTTGTAGTGTCTTTGTAGTAGCTCTTGCAGTTGTTGTACTTGTAGTTGCACCTGCAGTTGTAGTTGCAGTTGTAGTTGTCCTGTTGTGTAATGGTAGT